GATTTTGGGGTCATTTTGGGTCATTTTGGGGCTATTCTGGGTGATTTTGGGGTCATTTTGGGGTTGTTTTTGTGCATTTTGGGTCGTTTTGGTTCATTTTTGATGATTTTGGGGTCATTTTGGGTGATTTTTGGGCAATTTTGGTCATTTTGGTTCATTTTGGGGTCATTTTTGATGATTTTGGGGTCATTTTGGGTCATTGTTGGGCAATTTTGGGTCCTTTTGGTTCATTTTTGGGTCATTTTTGGTCATTTTGGGGTGATTTTTGTGTGATTTTGGGTCATTTTGGGTCATTTTTAATGATTTTGGGGGCATTTTAGTTCATTTTGGGTCATTTTTGGGTGATTCTGGGTCATTTTGGGGCAATTTTTGGTGATTTTGGGGTAATTTTGAGTCATTTTGGGTCATATTGGGTCATTTCTGGGTGATTTTGGGTCCTTTTGGGTCATTTTTGATGATTTTGGGGTCATTTTGGGTCATTTTGGTTCATTTTGGGGTCATTTTTGATGATTTTGGGTCATTTTGGGTCATTTAGGGGTCATTTTTGGGTCATTTTTGGGTAATTTTAGGTGATTTTTGGTCATTTTGGGGTAATTTTGAGTCATTTGGGGTCATATTGGGTCATTTCTGGGTGATTTTTGGTCATTTTGGTTCATTTTTGGGCTGTTTTGGGTCATTTTGGGACCATATTTGGTCATTTTGGGTCATTTAGGGGTAATTTTTGGTCATTTTGGGGCATTTTGGCCAATTTGGGGCGGATTTTCCCGGGGTTTTTTGGGTTTCCCATGTCCAGGGGGGTCCCGGGGTTGATTTTTGGGTGGATTTTGGGTGATTTTGGGTCATTTTTTGCTTTTTTCCCCCCCCCAGCTGTCTGTCAAGAACTGCTTCATCCGCGGCTCGGTGGTTCGCTATGTGCAGCTCCCGGCCGACGAGGTGGACACGCAGCTGCTGCAGGACGCGGCCAGGAAAGAGGCTCTGCAGCAAAAGCAGTGACCCCCAAACCCCAAAAAACACCCCAGGAGCCTTCCCCG